TTGAAATAACGCAATTATTCCAGTGTATTCAGTGCGATGAGAGTGTTTTCAGGGATGTTCGAAACATCGTATTGTAGTGGTGGCATAAGTGCTGGCAGCACATCGTTCCTGTTGAAGAACCTTCTGAAAGAAAGTTGTCGTCTACCGATTCGAATCATTCTTCATCTTATGCAATCCAAATTTCGTTTCAACTCAAAACCGACCCCATCATCGATTGTTGATCAGATTGCTTATAGTAGCACTACTATTAATCAGTTACCAAATGAAGTGATCGTGAAGATTTTCTCGTATTGCACTGACGCTGATCTGCCTTCCTTACGGTTACAATGTAGTCGTTTCAATGAGGTCACTTCTTTTTCCATTGAATTTCACTCATCTTATAAAATTTATTTAGTAAAGCATTCTTAACATCATTAATATTATTCTTCTCGATATTATTTCAATTCTGATTGCTACCATTATCATGCCTTATGTGCAGACAATGATTAAGTAATGCGCAACATGCATTCACCATGCAACAATGCAAATGCGCACATGCTGTGATCGTTGTCGTGATCATAATTAACAGAAGTAAGTCATAACAAAGGCAGGCTAGCGGTACGGCTTTGATTGACGTTAATCGACGTTATGTGCTGTCAGAGCGGCTCAAAATTACCTCTGCAAGAAGCGATGCCCAGTGCATGTGATGATTAAATATTTACGAGCTTTCAAAGTCATTACTCATTGCCAAAATTCCCTACTGAAATGAATTCATTTACCGTGCCACACCTGCACACATATATCATCACATAAACGTATGGATACAGAGTTTGGGTTTAATTGCATCGCATCATAATAATTGTGTGTTGCATTTGCTATTTGCACAAGCAATTACGCATCGTAGAGTTAGTTGCTGCTTGTTTGTTGGTGCTGGTTACGCAATGCGAAGCGAGATCAGCTGAATTAAGTCAGCATAACAGATATAAATGATTTGTGGATTTCAATACGTTCTCGGTGATGAGTTGACGGCTTCATTACGAACAATTCAACAATGAACAAAACAGCAGACTTACTCACGAAGTCAAATATTTTTCAAACGTAAACTGAGAAACTTAGGTATTTTTCGAACATTTCGGTACAAATTTCCCTTCAGAGCATTGTAACATCCGATTTGCATTGAGGGTTAGGTTAAGGACCGTCTACACGCCAGGAATTTTACGGGAACTGACTTTACCTCTGCTTTCGTGGATCCCAATTCGTAGGAAACAACTGCTTATCTGCTCACAAGTGATAAAACATGATTTCTGATGCGGCATTTGAAGGATGTTCGATAGTTGGCAATTTCACGTTGATTTTTATGCGCTATAAAGTAATTTTGATAGGATCTTATGCATAATAAATCATAAACGATACATTCCGAATGCATTTNATGAGGCAATTTATTAAGAATGCGTCGTTCGCATGTTTTCTGTGAATGCCTTTCCACTTGTCAAAGTGATTTATTGGCAGTGTTTTCATTGTTGTGTTTGATGCATTTCTGAGTAATTGCGAATTGAGACGCACCAACAATTCATCATTTATGAATTGAAATTACACGGAATATTTGACGCTTCCGCTTTCTGATTGTCACCTTCTATATTTTAATCATGACATTCAGCTATTTATTACCATATGGACATTTACATATATAAGTGACCAACAACGAAAGAGATTCAGGTGAGAGGATGGAAACAACTCAGCGATAGCAATTGATAACCATAGAGACTTCGTTGATTGATAAGAGCTAGCATTAGTTCGTGTTGACTTTCTTCTGGAGTAACTGACTAATTTTACTCGCACAGATATCATCACAGAAACATTTATCACTAATCACTTTCCCATATGTCTTCAATTATATTTCTATACCACATGAACACAGCTAAGAATGATGGATTAAATCGAATTTTCAACTATTCTACAAACTCAATCTGTAAACAATATATCAATATCACAATCAAAGCAAAGATGTTTCAAAAAATAGAATGATATTATTAGTATTATTATTAGGTGATATTTCAGTTGATATTGGCATGTCCAAGTTCATTGATTCGATGTCATCGCCAACGATTGGTCACATGCCTGACAATATCGTATGTTCAAGATGAGGATCGCTTTCTATTGGCCACTTTCAAGAAAAGTCATTCAAGTCGTAAAAATTGTATGACCATCTCAAGGCAGGATATTCTAAGTGGGAACGGACAAAATTTGAGGTAATCATGCATTTTCGATAAACCCTGCTTTTTCCCTGATATTTGAAGCTTCATGATCATGTGGGATGGTTGTCAAGGAAGAGAGAGGTCGATCACATATCCAGTGCGCATTCGCTGCTGCTTTGATGTTCTCATAAGCAGACCGCTATTTAGTACCAATCAGAGCTGCTTGATTCCAAATATCTTTCGTTCAGTAATTGCTTAGAAACGCTTAATGCTAATGAAATAGACCGAGGTTTAATACTTTGAAAAGTTCACTACACTGAAACAATTCCTTAACCTAATCCGTGCAGTTCACCTCAAAACAATCTTCACTACAATTATGGCTCTTGTTTAACACAGTTTCATTTGTCGCTTTCCTTTTGTACATTAAAGGAATATCAGTTTTGGAGTGCGCACTCAATCGCAGAGACTAAATTCCATAATTGCACATTGTATTTGTATAAGTCCTGCTAAATGATGCGTTCAGAGTCTCTGTCAACAAATGTCGGATTAATTGTTCAGAATGAATGGTAAAATGAACGTCCGATGTTTACTTGAATGATTAACGTTCAGTTAAGGCACACTCGACACGAATGCCACGAGTATATACAATGACCATTTTTGCCGTTTTGTAAACAGACCTTGTACAAATCCAGTACATCACAGAGATAGTTTTCATAATAAAAATGCGATTGATTGTTTCGAGTACATTCGGGGAGAGTTATTTGAAGAATAGTGAGAGACAATAATAACATGGGCAATAATGAATCATAAAGTCAGGACATAATGATTGAAATGGTATCATTGTTTCTCAGCGCCTAGTTTTTGGAAGCCTCATGATCGATCTCAAACCAATCTCAGTAGTGATTGAAGTTTTGTTGTCAATTGGCAAGGAGCTCTTGACTGGATGGGGAATTTGAAATTGTTCATCTTACATTCAATACGACACTCACGATTAGTCTCAGCAACTGTTCTGAAAACAAGTCGAGTTCAAAAGTTGATCTGAACTGATTCCTCAGCATTTCGATTTCAGGTTTTGTTTCCGTCGTTTTCGTATTCTCGGTCTGCAATTCTCCAATGTGCCACTTTGCTCACAATCAGTGAATTTCTTCTGTGATATGCTAAGCAGTTGTCGAGCGTTGGAACCGAAAACGTTGCGAGTATGTGATTGCTATGTGGCCGATTTGACTGGCTCGGATATGTTGAGGTTGATGAAGCTATGCGGTTCGCATCTTATCGTGCTCTCCTTTATGGTAGGTATCGTTTCACTGATGCATCGTCGTCCTTGATTCGTTTCTTCAAATCTCTTCTCCGTAATGAACTTGATTGCAAGTTGATGAATCAGTCGATTCATCAGCAAAAGGCGATTTCTTTTCGACGACTCAATAAGTAATTTTCAATGGGGCGATCTAATTTACTAAATGGAAATCATCAAGTTTCTTCAGTCTCTTTGATTATGGTTCTCAAACATTTCGCATTTAATGCTCAGGAGGATAAGTTGCGGTTGAAGCCTCACATTGTAGGATTCAATATCTCCTTATAATTCCCTTCAACATGGCAATTAGAGTTCCATTCTCGTTCAAGAGATATTTTGATAGTGTCTCTCCTGGTTATCACTAAACATTATCCAATTAACGATTTCAACGAGTAATGTGTTGAAAATTTCAGAATTTAGCCGGTGTGCACAGCACGTTATTATGTGATGAACTATTTTCGACGGCCACCTATTCGGGACTCTATGTGTTGATGATTCAATCAATTGATTTTCACTTCTCCGTTCCGTTGCGTGATCAATATCTGCAAATCAGCGACGTTACGCTGGCTCGATTACCGAGTACAATGCGTAAAGTGAAACTGGAGAAGTGCGCCAATATCACCGCTGATGGAGTTTGTCAATTTGTTGAGGTATTCTACGGCGTTGATTCGTTCGTTTATACACCCATTCCCTGATATATTTCCTTTCGTTCAGTTTTGAATGCGATTAAACCGGCCAGATTTTCCACAGTTACTAACAGCTAAGAAGGTTGAAACAGTACAATTAGATTACCTCTCATCATAGTCATATGGTCTATCGAGTCTTTTCTGAATAAGGAAGATCTGCTTTTTTCTTTCTGAATTCAGATCTTTGACTAGAGTCGCGGCTCAGAGATAAGAACTCCCATTTGAACAATTTGTTATATTTCAGCGTTATTTCGGTAATGAACCGTCAACGTCTTCAAATGCGCATCGATCAAGTGAACTCGTTTTCAAACAATGTGATCAACTGACGACGGCTTCGTTTGAACGCGAAGCACAACGGCGGCGGATTCCAATCGAAGGACACGATTCCGATGAGTACATCATGAAGTGGGTGAAAAGAAGGCAATATCATATCAGGAAGGCAAATGAACGAAGGGTCAGTTAGCACATTCCACTTCAGTCATAATGTTGTACGATAATACGTACAGGTCCAATGAGCATTTATTTTCAAAAACGGTTCATTGCTTTCGAAATAAGTCAGAAAATGAGCAGTGGACATGACCAAGTATCGGCATGAATGAATGTTTAATCTTCAATGAATTTGAAAAAAAAATTGTTAGGTTGTCCGGGCTATATGGCGACTTCAACAAAAAGCCACTGAAATTTTGATAACTTCTGATAACCTTGTTCTTTTTTTTAATGTGAAAACGTTTCAAGACTCCTGAAATGACTATTTTCTCTGAAAGTTTCACCATCCAGGGCTTTGAAATCGATTTTATACTTCACTGATGTTAATCATTTTTCATAATGGAGTAGAAAAGGCCATTTGAATTCGTGTTACTGAAGCTCAATTTCTTTCTCATTGGTTTCATCTATTCCTAATTGAAATTTCATTACAATCCGAAAATTTTCCGTCTTCAGTCACAAGCGTCTCAAAGAAGAGAGCAAATTCGCGTGCAAGTGATTGAACACAAACTAAATTTCAGTTGCTATCAGTTGAGATTGACAGCTATCGTCCGACTCGAAGTGGCATTTCATCGCCGGCTAACGTCGACGATTTATCTCGGAATTCAGTTCATTCGATCGCAACGCTTGGGAGTTTGTATCCAGACAGTCTACCAGTAGTGCTACTTCGTGACCAGACCAACTGCAAGATTGCCGATCTAGACTCGAAATGTGCACTGGATGAACAAACCATTGAAACGGCACCACCGACCACAAAAACAAAACTGAACAAGCAACTGATATTGTTGAATCCAAGCAGTTGTCTTCGTAATGCCAATATCATCAAACCTTTCAATAGCTGCTTATTTTGTGCTAATTATTCCACGTATGAGACGAATTTTCCCCCACATTTCCTCGTCAAATCAAGGGACGGTCTCTTCTTCCAACCAAATTCATGATGTTCTTTCCCAATCCTTGTACCTTCATGGACTATGAGATATCGAATCTAGACAACGTGAAGAGCGGTATAACAGCATCTTGTCTGTTTTAGACATTACAACTTACAATTGCATTTTACGCATTAAAAAATTTCTGTTTTTTACTGAAATTCATCTATAAATTTGTCTAGATTTGTTTCATGACCAATCGAAAATAGTCGTTTAATAAGTTCCACTAAAAGAAAATTCAGTTTTAATTTTTACGGGTTCTAATCGAATAATGCTTGTGAATGTATTGTTAAGCTTGTTCTCATTGACTTGTTAAGCTCGAGTGACGTTCACCACTAATATGTTTATTCATATATAATTATTTTGCCGAAACAATTTCTGTACAAAAGAATTCATTTTATTCAATGTGTATTAAATAGCTATAAATAATATTATTGTACAGTGCGACGTTTCATGTGGAAATATGTGCATGCGGATTATTGTTGTATATTTATTGTTCAAACGCTAGTGGTTATTCATTATGTGGATCTCTTTTCAATAAAATTTCAACCAACAAAATTTTGCCTCGCAACAATTACCGCTTTCTTTCCGCTTACAGAACTCGCAACAGTTCCATCATATGCACAAATGTCGTGTAAACATGAACTCACTCCATTTTCAGATCATAAAACTGCTGAGAGTTATCGTTTGTTATTTGATTCAATGAATTTGATCAGTTTGAAATGCCAGTAGAGCCAGCAGAATCAATGACCTTCAAGCTTATTAGAGCAGTCGTCAGTTAATCTCTTTAACTTCAATATACGCAAGCAAATGGTTGATTACGCATGAAATACGAAAAATGAAAATTTAGATTGTAGTGAACAGCAATGATTCGTCATCGTATTCGTTCTGATGGCACACTAATCCGGCAGTGTTCCATAAGTGGCATTTTAATGAACACTTCTGATGGTTGCACAATTAATCCCATAATGCCCTTTGGGCATACAATTCACCTAAGACATTTCTCTTAATTGACGTTTTGCGTTTAGTTATCGTTAAAGAACTCACTTAGTAATGCTAGCGCTGCTGATTACAGTGGTCATAACCTCGATTCCATCAATCCGGAGCGATAATGTGAGTTCTCTTTGCAGTTCTAGATCCGATGATTTCCCTAGGTACTGATCAGTGATCACCGTTGGCTGATCACTGATCAGGAATGATCAGTGATCACCGTTGGCTGATCACTGATCAGGAAAAATCAGTGATCACCGAATACTGATCACCGATAAATTTGTTTCTTCTCGTTCATTAGCCAATTGTGCCGAATCTTGTCTTCACTTTATAATTAAAACAAAATCACAAAGCTGCAAATACTGTCACATAACTGTATGAATGGAGACTGTCCACGCATTTTATGGATGCGGTTATCAGTGTATGATCACTTTTGATCAATCTGTGCACTGGACGGCACAGTCTAGTTTGCTTGAAGTGATCGGATCCTCCTGACACCGTCAGCACCAATATTAAATTTGGAAATATTTAAGAAATTTTGTTTACTTCATGATTCACCCAAGAAAAGCAAACTGGATGTCCATAACCAAAATGTTAACGTCTCCTGATCATTCTCATTTAGAAATACCTGAAAACAACATCAGATTGATGCAGTTTTTCACATATTGCAGACAGAATGCCTTCGATATCAAGTGTGCTTAATGGCCGTTCGAAGCGACTACGAGCAGTGTATCGGGGGTGTTGGTGCAGCGTTATTGTGTGATCTTGAGAGGAATGTCACCGAGGCCAATCGTCTGATGCGATTTTCTCAGAGTATCGCCGACTGCGAAAACGATAACGACGTTCACATTAACCAATTCAAAGTAGATTCATGATTCATATTGGCTCAAAACGATGAAATTTGCTGCTGTAAAAGAACGGTTTCAGCGTGAACAAGGGCTTCACTTTCAGAGGAAAATAGAACGAGAAATTTCATTCGAAAATAAACGATAAAGATTCAGAATCACTGAAAGATCTAATGGTTTTGCCCAAAAGAATTGCTAATCGCCTTTATTATGTCTTGCTGCAGGAAATTCGACAACTCGAAAACGACGAGCTTTTAAGGTGTACAAGAAAAGCGAGTGATCACTCTGGGCAATCAGTAAGCGAAATCAGGGTGAGTCTGTTGAAGCGAGAATATTTACAGGTTGATCATAAGTTGATCTGGCTGTTACATTACATTCCATTTGTAATCGTCATAAGTTCCGTCCGATTGAAAATACGGCACATCCGTATGGTTAAATGCATGTCTCTGCAACAGATTTTATTTTTGAAATAAGAGTTTACTCTTTTTGCAGAAGCTTGCTTGTGCTAGTACACCAATTCCTCAGTCGTTACGGGACAAGGCTAAAGAGGTGTTGAAGGAGCCGAGTGAATGCCGTGATCTTTACATGCTGCAAGTACAACGATGCAACTTCATTCGTAATTGCTGTGATGAATATATGAGGTTCGGATGCAAACCATTCACAGTGTGACTCGGAATAACCCTTAAAAGACAGTAAATTTTGATTACTCTTACGAAGCAGTTCCATGAAAAACACCACCTAGCTTTGAAAGATGTGGAAAACCTACAGAAATCCGTCGTACATTAGCTCTCAAATAACTTTTCCCCTATGTGATCGAATAGTTTCGATCGTTTGGGTTGTTTTGGTTCATTGGGATGTTGTCCGATGTATCTGACTGATTCGTGAACAACTACAAAAATATTCTCATTCATTTAATTTCAACAAAATATAAGTTGCCCTACTTTAGATGTGCGTCAAATGCGACAATAAATTCGGTGATTTATCAAGAATTGTATGCGAAAGGTCGTTCGTTAAGTGCCGAAACACGAAGGTGTTTGGAAACGCAAAACAAAAAATACGATGGTGGATCAGATGTTCGCCGGCATTTTATTTGTTCAAAAATCCAGTTCACTAATATAAGATCCACACTGCATTCTTCTTAAAATCCACACTTCCTCCTACCTTTTGTTACCAAATCACATGAAATGAACAAATTGAAGGCGTATTTTGTTTTGGATGTGATTTCTTGTGAAAATGTACAAATTCCGGAACTGAAAAATTCAAAATTCATAAACATCCATATTCCCGATTTTGAACCACTGGAAATTCTTTCTTTTGATTTCTGCAGATCAGTGAGCAGCCATATTTTGATGATATGACAAGTGAGACGAAATCGCAGCTGTCAGTTGAGGAACAACGCAGAAAACTGGAAGCGGTTTTGAAATTTTTAAACTCACGAACACAAGCGCAAACATCCGAAAGCATCACTACGGTAACCACAACGCCGACAGCTGCATTAACCACCACATCCGTTACAACTACAGGTTTGCGGTTCACCGTCACTCAGGGCAGTCGTTTTCACAAATCTGTCACAAAACCACAATTCATTTATTGCTGCATTGTTAGCCCAGCAATGTCTGATTCTGAGATAAAAGCACATGTAATGGGATAATGTAATTATCAAAAGCACATGTAATTATCATTCTCTCGTTTGATAAAAACTCCGTGAGGGCAAGAAAATTGAATGAGATCGGTCATTGTTCCGGAAACAAAAATGGTTTGCTTCGTGGAAATGATGATCAGATCAATTTCAGCGGCACCAACAACGATCAAGCATGTGACCTGGATCTATCCCACTTTCCCTACATTACTGCCACCACTGCCCAATTATTTCGCGGTTAGCTTTCACCTTCATGCTTTTCGTTTGAAACTTTAACCTTATCATCAATCTAGTATGAAAACGCTATGGCGAAAGGACTCAGATTGCTTTTATCTGTTATTTTTTCAATCTGATCCAATGAATTTTACCCGCTATCATCTTCCATTAAAATGAACTAATTTCAAGATCTTGTTTCCACCGCTGCAAACACCTTCAACGCCGGCAACAACTCCGCAATCCACTACGAAATCCTCAAGCACTCCGGAAGTTGAATTCCATGATGACCATACAGCGGACATTTCTCCAGTGTTGAGTAGTGTCCATCCGAATCAGGTCCTTAAGTTTGTTCAAAGTTATCCTCCTATTAAATGTAGTGACTTATTTTATTAACAATTACACAGCTCGTAGTTCGAATCGAAAGTTTTTACGTGATTAAACAAAAGAGGATATATTTATATAAAATGGATTCCAGTGGAACATGCGTATTCCCTAGATATTCACTCATGAAACTAGTGCCGAAACCAGAAATGAAGCGAAAATTTTAACTTGCTTATTAAATCCAATAACATTTGTTTGTTTTAGAGCGATTGGGCGTCGTTTTGCAACGAATCATTGAGTTGTGAGCAAGAATTGCTGAAACTTGAAACGGAATGCTTTCTGAAACGATCAGTTAACTTCGATCAAGAAGGTTGAATAGTTGCAAGTCTCGTTTACCACTTAAACCGATTTCATGGCATCACCAATTCCTTAATGTTTCTGATAACCAAGTAAACACAAATGATTTTTCAGCATCTTTAAGAATTCCACCTTAAAAAAGCATTTTCACGTTGAAACATCACTTTACAGTCAATAGATTCATAATGCATGTATTTTTCTATCAATATCATAGCATAAGGAACATAATATTTTTATCAAGTTAAATCATTTCTTTACAGAAATGTTAGATGCGTTGATCACTATAAAAATTATCGAAAATACATTGGATACGGAATCAACACAACGTGCGAGAAGAACATGTCAGAATACAATCAGATCTGAAGAACTGAATCAGGTGAGCAGCGAAATGATGAGGACTGAACAACTGGCTGAATTCACCGGCTACTGATTGGATCATGAACCACTCAATAATTTACGAACTTATGAATCAATTGGATTCACAAGATTACTTAATTCAGTAATCACAAGATGACTTAATTCAGAATTCGATGAAAAGTTTAAAACAACCACTGTTGAATAATTGAAAATTTCAGTTGAAGAAATCATTTAATGAACTAGAAACGAAACGTGTGGAGTGCATTCAACGGCGTATTTTGCTGCAGTCAGATTCAATTCCACCCAATGATATCAATGAGACAGGAATCAAGGTCTTGTGAAATTTTTCGGACGAATGAAATTTAATCATAGCTATTTTATTGGAACTCTATTTTCCTCATGTGCAAATCTTTAGATGGATCATTGCGAGAGTAATATTCTCACTGAATCGTTAAGTGAAGACCTCGATTCGAATTCAACTTATTCTCAACGACAACAACGGAATTCACAAGATTCATGGGCTGAAATGTTATTCGATATGAGGAAGTGTGATCGAGAGATCAGAACGCTCAAAAGTCGATGTGAACGCTTAAGACGGTGTTGTCCTCCTGTCCAAACGTGAGGATTCCACACATACGTTGATCATAGAAGCAATTTTTTCTGCTACAAAATAATCGTTGTGTTGTCTCAATTATAAGAAATCAAGAACTCGCAATCTACGAAAATACTGTCAGATTCAATTCGGTTACATTTTGAAGTGGTTATATTTTGAAAAAATAATCGAAGTGTTAGGTTATGGATATCAAATCAACTGAATCAGTCGTAATCGTTTTCCTTATCCTGAAGTAATCTTATTATCCTGAATTTTTCGGCGACAGAAACCGATATCCTCGTCAAATGATCCGTTTTGTATTTGTTCCAGTTGCGATGAGTTACTGGAGGATTCCGAGCAATCTCGCGATCACAAATTTCGAATGCATCAACTGCTAGTGAATCAACGAGAATGTGAACGAAAAATGTTAGCTGCAATCGACTCGACATCAACTGAATCAAATCCCATCACTTAAACCTCCCCAATTTCCATCGGATAAGGACTTCTGGTAGCTGGTCTTTCCTTACACACGGAACAATTTATTACCTCATTATGTACTTTAAAAGGCAATCGCTTGCGTATCCTTGTAAAACAGTATCATATTTCAACTTCATAAAGGCATTCGTTCTATCTCCGGTTGATCTACATCCTAATCACTGCATTATCAACAAATGATGCATCCAGTGAACAGTTTTTCTTTTTCAAAGAAGTGATCATGAGGATGAATAAAGATATGCATGTATCGAATCATGATTTCCTTTATCCGGCCAATTCTATTCCCCGAGTATTCCATACTGGCATCGTGCAAACAATTTCATCGGAATTTGTAAACATCAACTTCCATGAGGCTCTGAATCAATGAACGAATAATTGAAAGAAGTTTTATTCACATCGAAGACATTCATTTTCACATACGTCTTATTTGAATGCTTTTAGTAATTCTTCTCAAATTGATGTACGGTTTTGCTGACATTAAGGTTTCTTCTTCAGTAAGTTCGAATAATTCTCGATTGCTTCTTGTAGTTTCACGTTTCACAAATAATGTCTACACTCGTGTCAGGGCGAAATCAGACTTAGAATCCCCGAAAATGGAGTCCCTCGGAGACTGGACGTAAGACGTAAGTCCCCGGAACCTCGGTGGTCCCGATCTAACCCTACTCGATACTTTGATGTTGCTATACGGCATGATGATGCAAGAAACGAGTGAAATGATATCAGATAAAATAATTATTTTTTATTTATCATCCAATAGA